ATAAAGTAAATCTTACATTATGTCTTATTATCTTATTCAAATTTAAATCAAAGCAAAGCTCATTAGCAGTAAACGAAAAGCAAATTAAAGTTTTATAAAAAGCCTGAATTACATATGATCATTTCTAACAATTACTGCGAATACTGCAGAACAAACAATTCAGAGGAACATCTTTGGGATTCATTTCCAGAGAATTTTCGTTGCAAGCATAAAAAAGTAAGAAGGTGTTGGATTTTTTTGTTGTTGCATTAAACAAAAATCATACAATTCTTACAAATATATATTATATAGAGTTATAAAAAAAAAAAAACAGAAGTTCTCATTCAAGTTCAAGGACACCATCAGGTTTAAGAACTTGAACTTGTCCTGCAGTGAGATGTGGCTCCGTTTATTTCCACTACATTTGTTAAGAACTGGTATTCACATATAAAAATATATATATAAATATATACATTTCTATTTTGAGAATATAATGAAATATATTATTTGCTAAAATACATATAAAAAGTGTGACTGTGGATGTTTAATACAACTAAAACGTTGAACACACCGTGTCTATCATTAAACCGAAGAACACACACTTAAAAGGGAAAAAATCCCATAAAGATTTTTTTTTAAAACATGCTCATTACTGTTGGAATGCATTTTAATCTCAGATCATGAAATAAAAGAAATAAAAAACGACGCATAACAATACGTAAGTTTGATTTGATGTGTATTTACGTGTGTGTGTGTGTGTGTGTGTGTGTGTGTGTGTGTGTGTGTGTGTGTGTGTGTGTGTGTGTGTGTGTAACTGGCTCTGCTGTGTAACTGGCTAGTAGAGCTGGAGTTTGCTTCAGTGCACAGAAGGCCTGGCTGTGGGCTGTGCCAGGCTGTTGGGTTGGTCAGGTATACTTTTACAGAGAGCGAGAAAATACTGCAAACCCTCACCACCCTGCCATCTGCCTCTCGACATGCAGCCTTCCCCTGGACTCCAGCCATCCTTTGCCAAAAGGCCTAAGGGGTGGAGTAGTGTGATACTCTGCCAGCCAAAACCATGTGTCCACTGCTAGTTCTGCAGAGCTTATATCCATATAAATGAACATAAACGCCTATGTATGGAAAAACTGAACCCGGGTCGTGAACCACCCGAAAGCTTCCAGTGATCCCGGGTTAGCTTTGCCCTTAAAAGAAGTCCCATTTAACATAAACGCTGATAAGCAGAGGAGCACATGAGTAGAACAAAGAACAACAACAATTAAAAGATATTTGAAAACATGTATTAAGTATCATATTTGGTTCGCCTTTCAGGCAATCTGAAATATTTAATGTTACAAATTGAGCTAGGGATTTTAAATTGCCATATGCAAGTCTCATTTACTAATGCAACCTGACTTTTCCAGTAATCAAAAAAAGTTAACCAAGTATCGACAAAGAGCCTATAAGAAGGCAAGCAAATTAACGAGAGTCAAGTTCACTATTTCATAATTGTTGTGTATTTGTTTTATGACTTTTTATGGTTTCAACTTTTCTATGGCTTATTCATGTTTGTTCTTTTTTCAAAAGAAAAAAGGGAATGTTTTTACATGCATCAATGTAATTGGAAAAGCATTTCCAAAATATTACAATGCAAAGCATGTGTACTTTGAAATCCTGTGTAAAGTAAAGCAAAGATCGAAACAAACAGGAAATAATGTGATCAACATTATAATTAAGTCGTAAAAGTCATTACCTTGTAAATGGTAAAGCGAAGGACTATCTTTTCTATTTATTCTGCCGCCTTAAAATAAATACAAGCTTGGCAAATACTACCCGTAAAACTTCAAATTTAAGTACTCTCACTGAAATATAGCTGAAAGTCATGCCTGTGACAACATTAAACGGATCACAACAATCTGTACACCACGTACTTCTTGTAATACACAACATAATAACATACTAAGCTCGGACCACATCACTCATTTGAAATACCTCCACAACCGTGGCCTTCCGCTTATCCACTAATTACTCCGGAGAAGGATTATGCTGGCAGCAATCAAAGTGCTAATAATGACTTTTGTTCATGCAATAATATATTTCAACAAGGTTTTATGCAAGGCAGGAAAAAGTTATAGAAAGTTAAAGGAACAGCTCCATCGCTTTTATATGCGCTATCGCGTACGCTCCTAAACTACATGTAGGATTTTAAATTCAGATGTATTAATGCGCACTCAAGTATAAAGAAACTTTGTGTACAATTGTTTATTTACACAGTTTGCCTGTTAAACATTGAAAGCCTAAGGCGTAAACACACGGATAAACTTCCATCGGAAACACGCAAGCATACTAATATTAATAACAGATATTACTCACCGAACTTCACTGAAGATGGGAAATGTCTGGTCGGGATGCGAAATGTTGCAGCTCTCCCCGCTTTGATCCACATCTCTGTCAAGGAAGATAAGCCATAAGCTCCCGTCTGGTGGACCTTTCTTATTTCCCACAGCCTGTCCCCTCACAGCCGAGCCTCAGCCCAGCTCCAGAGCCCCAGCTCCAGCCTCAGTCTGATCCCCTGCAGCCGGCCGGGACGGGCCTGAAACAATAGGAGGCCATGAGGCTGTCTGCAAGGCTCTAGCTTAGCCCGTCTGCTAGTTAACAAGTCTTTGAATGAGGAATGTTAGCAAACAGACAAACAGCATGTCTGATGCATGCAAATAGTACAACCAGTCCAGTCACAGCGTTGGCTGGCCACATGAATAATTCAGCAGTCTATATGCTGCTCTCCCACATTTCTCCCTCCCTCTTCCCGAGTGAAATGCCTTCACTAGAAAAAGTGTGGCAAAGTATTCAAACCTCTGCTATACCGGCAGCCTTGATCGCAAACATTACTTTTAATGCTTTATACAAACATGCAATATAGCAAATAGCACAGGTGGATATGGAGAGACGTGACATGAAGGGTTACTTCGGACGCTTCGCTGCAACAATTTAAAATTTCGCAATTACTACATTTTTTGGTCTTATTGCCTTTTAATGTCTTTTCTTTGCAGTTGGCACCTGTCCCAGAAAGAGCTCCGGCTCAGCACACCACTCTGCTGTTAGGAGAGCGAGTCGGTGTGAAAGAGAGAGAACAAGGGGGAGCGAGAGGGAGACACAGAGAGGACATGGGAAGGAAAGAGAAGGAGACACAGGGAGTAAAGACGAAGGAGGTGCGATACTTCACGCCAGTCGCTGAAGAAGGACATGTTTTTAAAACAGACGAGTACCGCTCTTAAATACTGCTCACATTTTATGCTTGTCATCCGTAGTGGTCATTCAGACCACGAGCCAACTCCACGCAGGTTACCCGTCAGAAATGGCGCCCCGACACTCCAGGTGGAACAAGGCCCATCACATGGCGAATCACCACCTTGACAAATTCCCATCCGAAAAGAAAGAAACTAAATAAATACTACTCGAAACCCATCAGCGGGGAAGAAATAAGGCAGACGCCATGCACTTTAAGAACACAACATAAAAAAGAACAGAAGAAACAGAGCCCAAATCCAAAGGGACGCAAAATCTATGCGTCAAAAGTGCGAAAAGGCCCATAAAAAGCAACTTGTTGCTAGGTTTTGCAGAGCTGCTGTGCAGCTAGTTGGAGGCAGGCAGAGGGTTAAAATCCAGCTAGTAGTGAGTGAAAAAAAGCTCCGTCTATGGAAGGGCGGGCTGTGGGGAGGCCCTGACTGTAGAAATAGCAGCAGACTTTTTTTCTTTTTTTCCCCCTCGCAGAGCTTAAGTCTCCCCCTTGCGTGTGGCTGGAGCAGAAAGAAGGGAGCAGGCGAAACAGAGAGAGAAAAAGAAGTGGGGAGAGAGGGAGGAAGAGAGGAGGAGACAGCCAGCGCACAGTGAAGGGGAGAAATGCTCTGCTGATGATGAAATAGGAGGTGCGGCGGAGCGCTCGAACCAGCCACTTTTTCATCACATGTCCAACACGGCAAGGAACTGTATTTGCACCGGAGACTGGGGAGAAGGGAGGGAGGGAGCATAAGATGGGTGGGAGACACAGAGAGAGAGAGGGGGAGTGGGAGGGTGGAAAGCATTAAATGTGGGAGGGGTGGAGGAGGAAGAATGACACAGAAATCCACTCCTCCAGCCGTGCGCAGACGCAGTGCACACACACTTCCACGCCATACTGGGATACACTATACAGTACCTCAGCTACTATATCAACTCGTGAAAAGAAAAGCGGGGAAAAAGAGATTCACAGCCTCTCAGAATGGACTGCCCCGCTGAAGGATCCTTGAAATATTCAGCACTTTTGAGAGCAGGTTGAATTATTAACCTTATCTCTTACTGTAGTGGGGCTTTTGTCGCTGGAACAGTCTTGGGAGCACACTCTGAAAGGAGCACACACCCTCAGAGTGCATTAACTCTTTAGCATGCCACAGTGACTAATGTGAATGTGAACACACACACACACACACACACACACACACACACACACACACACACACACCACACACACACACACACACACACACACACACACACACACACACACACACACACACACGCACACACACAGGAAAAAGATAAGCTTCCAGTGTTTATTTCAGTAACATGTGGCGAAGAACGGGGGGCTAGGACCCTCCTCTTTGCCCCGGCTCTGTCACAAAGCGCGCTGCAGCTGAACCCTCGCAGCTATTTTGGCACAAAGTCAAGAGGCTGATAAGCATTTTCGGTGAGACTTCGCTGCTTTTCCTCGAGGAAAAACAGCTGCCACTTGTCCGGTAAAATGCATTCAACAGTTCTGAGAAAAAATAGAGAAACCCCCAGAGATGCTAAAATGCTAAAAACCCAAAATAGGATTGTCCAAATAAATTAACCAAATGTTTGCACTAATTTACATGAAGAGTGAGGAAGCCAGAGAGTTAAGTGGAGGGGGAGACTCAAACAGCATGGCTGTTTCCACCATCTTAGATTGTATTGATTATTCTTTGCTGTCTCTCTCACACACGCTAGCTCTCTTTCTCTCCCTTTCTGTCCCTCCCTCCCTTTTTTCTGCCTGTGTTCTGCCACCTTCTCTGCTCGGCGATCAGCATTTGGCTTTTTCCATTTGTGGCAGATTACTGTAACGCTATTGTACAACAACTTCCTGCCTCTTTTGGCACAGGTTCTAAAAAAATCTGCAAAAGCAGAGCTCGTGGCTTCAAACTTTTTCCCCCCTCGGCCTTGAACTGCAGGAGCTTTATAAGAAAAGAAAAGGAGGAAGGAGATATGTAAAGTGTGTCTGTTACTGAGGAACTACTTTCATAAACTGCTGAGAATTAAAGAGGGGACTTCATGCCTAGCAGAGACAATGAAGGAAAAAAGGTGGGGGTTTAACTTTTCTTACTTTTACACTGTGAAAACTTTTTGTTGGTTTTAAGGGGGCACTGAATTATTAGTGGTGCTGCAGCAGATCTGTCTAACATGGCTGCTACTGCTTAGGGCTGCTCAGTTTTGTGAGGGCTGCTTTCATAGCACCGCCGCCTCCCCGTTCCTCGCCGGCTCTCTTCCCCACAGACACCGGATTCTCCACAAAAGCTCCTCTCTGCACTTCTCTTTGCTCCACAGGTTTCAGGACAAACACAGGTGGCTGAACACAGACATAGTGCAGACAGAAAATGCATTATTTACACTAACTTGCTGCAGAAAGAAGGCTGGACTGCGATTTCTTTTTCCCCTTCCCTAAATGAGATATGAGCCTGGTCCAGGCATCTAACATTGGCATGAGCTATAGGATCCCATTAGAAGGAGTGCAGCTGTACGTCACATCTCGCCATGCGTTTTAACCAATTGAGAAGGCCATGACTTCATTATGGCTTCAATGTAAAAAGCTGGAATATGTACAGTATATTTTCAGACCTTATTTGGGAATTAATGTGGATCCTGAAACAGAATATGTTAGAGGTCCAAGCATTAGCCGTTCTGGGGAAGCATACTTTGTGTGTTTATGCTTAGTAAGCACTTTGCATGGCATAAAGAGCATCGTAGGATAACGTTTTTGTTTCGGGTTTCGAGCCATCTCTCCCCACTGGGCTCCTTCACAAAGCTTTTAACCCAAAAATAATTAATCATCTTTTCATTTGTACGGCCCTAATTTACAACATTATCGCAACCAAGGCAGAATTTCCCAAATGATTAAATTCATTGTGCAAACCTTTCATTTTTCATTTCTTTTCACTACTACCCTGATCTTTTCCTGATTAATTGTTCACATACGATCGTTTGGAGAATATTTACAATGCCACAGAATTGTAATTGCTCTTCGGTTTATATCATTTCGGGTAAAGAGAAGCCACAGCTTTCCCTCTGCAGTGCATTGCTGCAACATCCGTGTGATACAGAATCAATCAGGCCAATTCAGAATATGATGTGAAACAAAATGGCAGACGGCGCCATGTTATGGACTCTGAAAAAAACTCTAAACCCTTTTTGCTGATTTGAATTTCAAATGTATGTTATTTGTTTTGATGATATTACATAGTTTAATACATGTTTAAAATACTTTGAAGAACTAAATTGAATGATAATATAAATATTTTTGCATATGTATCAGACTTTTGTAAAATACATTTTGATTCATTATCCAATAATGATCACATGATTATCAGGGCCTGCAATGAACTTTCCCTCTCGCACTGATAACATCATATCGTGCTGTGGTCTGCTGCTGACAGGGAAACACACTAAACACAGATCTAAGTGTGAGTCAAACACTGTGACAGAAAGTTCAGATAAGGGGACCGAACAAGGACACAGTTGAAAGACACTGCTTCTCTATGGCTTCCTTTCTACAGCTACAGGAAACAGTAAGGAGAGCTGGAGGAATAAGAACCTGCAGTGGGCAGGGGATCTGCAAAGACACACAGTATTTGCTCTTAGTCATTTGCAAACATCAAGGAGGCATTAGGAGGTTTGGGGGGGGGGGGGGGGGGGGGGGGGTTCTGTGCTTGGTCAGCAACCACCACTACAGCCACATATGAGACACGATAAAAACACATGTATCTTCTATTGGGCTTATTCCAGGGGATAAAAGCGACCCACTAATGTCTCCCTACGCTGCGAGGGGAGATGTTTTACTCTCCAGGAGCAGGAGTGGAGTCGATGAGGTGGTCTTGCTTAAGCCCCGCACGTGTCTAAACAACTTCTCTATTACACCCGAGACCTTTGAGGGCACTCCCCATCGAGCGGGGAACAAAGGCCATGACCCCGGGGTCAAAAGCGTTACACGGGAGGCCAAGCGGGCCCATTGAATGCAGCACTGCTGTTTGCTTTAAGAAGGTAAAGATTACTAACACATTAACTAATGCCGATTAGGGGGTTATCCCTCATGGGACGGCGGTCCCAGGGCAGCACATCACGTCTTATTAACACAGCCTGACCTTTGACCCCAGCAGTCACCTCAGGCAGCCGACTGTGACCACCACTTTCTCCTCTCTGACACACACACACACACACACACACACACACACACACACACGCACACACACACACACACACACACACACACACACACACACACGCACGCACACACACACACACACACACAAGAAATGAAGCGCAGCAGCAAGGTGCAGCACAGCTTGAAATATAAGTGTTTGAACAAACGTGAATAAATGATGCAATATAATCACTGCCCAGTATTTGAAGAGTTAATGCACTCCTGTTCGAGCTGCACAATTAGCAGGCATTGCACCATCTGTGTGTCTGAAAATAATCAGAGTAATAAATAGAAGTTCCTAATTAAACATGATCGATCCAAGAAAAAAGAATTTCAAGGCCTCACAAACATGTGCTCTACCGAAGTTTATAAAATGGAAGCATGTGCAATAAAGTTCTCATCACAAAATGGTGGAGAGGACATGCGCAGTATTGACGTCCCAGATGGTCATATGATGAAAAGCAAGAGGGGAAACATTTATCCACAAACAGTGCTATTCAAACATTATTTTTGCATCAGAAAAGTGAATTGTCTTTGTTAACCCTTCTTGTCCAGAAAGAGCAAGCCAATAATAACTTATAGAGACATCCTTCACACACCAGCTTCTAAAATGACTCTTTTTGATCAGATTATTTATTTATTGCAAATGTCCCTCTATAAATAAAGTAGCATGGGAATATTAATTTAATGGAATCAGAAGACTATCAGGATTAGAGTATTTTTCCAAAAAGTCAAATCGATGTTTGTGCAGCAGAGAATTAAAAAAATGTGATTTAATTGTTTTAAAGTTTTTGTTTAAAGTTGGCTCTCATGTAAAAGATGAATATAAATAGAGCATATGTTTGAAAATATGCAATTACATGATTGAATGTCAAACATCAATGTATTTCATTAGCTACACTTTATTTTATAAATGAACATCTAAATAAGACTGTGCTGGCCTTACATATGATACATAGAAACTGAATAAAATGAATTCTAAATGATATTTCATATAGAGCACATCATGGAAAAAGAAATTGTGCTAACAGTGTGTTTAATTTACATTGGAAGAATACCATTATTGTCATTGACACCAGACACTAATGTCTACTGTCTGGCAAATATTAATGTATGTAGGAAATGTGTGGGTTGAATGTACATCTGTTTTAATTTAATTTAGTTTTTGCACAGAAATAATAACACCGCAGCACATATCTGTGCTCCCAGGGCAGATATGCACCTTGTGAACCTAATTTTGGGAATTTGTGCTTCGCAATAGGTTGTTTTAATTAATTTAATAAAGTTTGCAGTTATATGAATACTAAAGAAAACAGATTTCAGCCAAAGGAAACTTTAAACACGTGCTCTATTATAAAAGATGGTCTTCTGAGTAAATACTCCAGCTTTAACCATTAGCAGATTTTGAATTTAAATTAATGCAATTACTATAATGATTTAAAATTATTATTAGCAAATATTAAGCAATATATTCTCCCCGCAAGCAATAAATGATTTGGCGGCACATTTATAAGCATGGCATATTTCAAAATCACTTGACTGCTTGTACATACATGATGCCTAGAAATTGTTTCGGGGTTTTTTTATATCGGATTTTAGTTCAATTGACTGACTGAAATATTTTACAATGTGCCCTGCTACACTCGTTTAATCTCAAAGTGCAAACCAGAGTATTTCTTTAACATCAGATAGCATTTAATCAGATGCCTTAATATGAACCAAATCAAAAAGATACTCAATTAATCAAAAGTATTAGCTGTGGTGTGCATTATTTTAAATACATGTTCTAAATAAACTACAAGTGTACACTGCAGCTATTCCTTCTAACAAGAAAATAGATATGAAGATTTTTTTTCAATTTAGGAATAAACTCACCTTGCTGTTTTTCACAGGAATCGAACAGAGGAAGAAGAGGAGGAAAGAGACACAGAGGGAAAAGGAGCAAAGGAGACTTTCTTGTGGGAACAAGCTGGAAATGATCGACCAATTCGATATGAGACCTTGGAGTGTACGACCTATCCGAAGAGGGACGCGCCCTAACTGTAACTAACAACCACTTCTGGCAGCCCTTCAACAGCCAAACATATTGTCCTGGATCAGATCAGAGAACCAGGGCAGCTTCGGCAAGAAATCCACATTCAACTTCTACCAATGGTGGAATTTAAATGTAGTCAACTAATGGGTTTTCAATTAGATTTTGATTAAGCTTTAAACTATTATCAGGATTTTGCTTATCAAATGTAAAAAGACTACATAAACACACATTCAACCAATATGTCCACACTTTGAGGCATCTGAGACAACAAGTTTTTTTTTTAAATGACTACTAAATATCATCTTTTGTATTATTTTGTATAATATACATGTTACCCATGTTCTCGTCATATGACGTCACAAGTTAAATGAACCCCTCTTACTACATGTTACTCATTTCACATTGCTGTCATAATTCAAACATTTGTATTTTTTTGAAATACATTTTCATTTAACCCTTTCTGACAAAATGAATAAGTAAGCAAAGCCACTTTTACATTTACATGTGACTCACTATAATAAAGAATTATTTGAAACTAAAATAACATTTCTTCACATTAATCAAAGGGCTCATTTAAAATAGAGATGGAGAGATATTTGAACTTATTGAAAATACTGTATAATTAAAGTAATAATGAAAATCAAATTGACTGCAAACACTAATCAAAGACATTACGTGCTGCAGGGACAAATTCTCAAAGTCATTGACACGCTATTGTAAAAAAGCTAATTCTCTATTTCTGTCCTCTTCAATTGCCTTTGCTTCTACATACCTGAACTCTCCCTTTGCAGTTTGACCCTGAGAGCAGCTACATCTACTGTAAACCGCCTTGGCCATTTTGTTTTATTCTTCCTCAACACTAAACCAGGAGTGCACAGGCCTGGCATTTTAGGTGCCACGTCACAACGCCCGTGTCTGCACTGCAGGGCTGCAAGGAGTCCAGCAGCCACGGCACTCAGCAGCGCACTGCCTCAACAAACACTGTGTGTACCTCTTGTTGTTTTTAAGATAGTCCCTAGCATCCCTGCTTCTACTGACAACAGCTAAACATACACCGAAAGCTTTAGAAACGTCATAAACATGCTGTCATCCAGCACAGAGCCACTGAGCCTTCAGCCCTGCATCACTTTGCAGAAATGACCTCAGTAAAGTTAGCTCACACACAATAGATATGATACTCATCCAATTGAGCAATGCTTTTTTTAATGAGGTTAGTAAACGCTTCTAAATAATGCCCAATAATGTATTGTGTGTGATCTTGGATACAAACACTGATTATGTCAATTCCACTGGGCGGATTAACTGTCATTGAGGTGCATTTGTCATGTTGCATAAAGATATTTATATAATGATTTTTGTTATGATTATTTATTTATATTAATTGTGTTTATTTAAAGCAAAAATATGATGTGTATTAAACTGTCATTGGATCACATTTATCTTATTTTGATATTTTTTTAATTCATTCAGATTTTGCTGTGTGTGGTTTTATATATTTTAGAGTATGCAAAGTCACATTATTGTAAATATGACACTTAATTGACTGTACAGCGTTTTGAAATAAAAACAGTCTGTGTCTTTAAGTAGAAACATGAGTTGATATGGATACGGTGACTTGTTCTATGTTTCTGAAACAGTCTGGAGCTCAAAGGCTTTCTCTCTTGCCGGTTATACCACGAGGCGAGTTCCTTTTGATTTCCTGCTTCTTCACACACATGCTCTCTCCAGTACAGGTTAGCTCTGAGTGTTAGCGATGCTAATGTAAACATAGACCATATTACGTCCAAAACAGTCGGGCATTGTTTCTGATAGTGCCGTGGGTCCACCGCAGATATTACGTCATATCGGACGCAAATCTGGATCAGCTCCGTTGTACCCCCGTTTTTAGAGATTTATGTACGGAGGAAAAGAGAGAGGGTTTTACTTTCTGACGCTGCGTGAGTTCCGACACACCGGGGACACATATTTATGTATAAAAGACATCAAAAGTGCATTTTGCATGATAGGTCCCCTTTAATATTACTATAATCATTATAATGATTATTTCTCAAGGTAATTGGTGCTAAATCATTTTTTCTTTGGTCCTATTAATTTTTTGTCATCGTCCCTCCTTGTATGTTAATGCACTCCTCATGCTGAACTGCTGACTAGATGGTGCATAATAATACTCAGGTGTTCCCATCATCATCATCATCATCATCATCATCATCATCATCATCATGGTAAAGGTGTGGACAGCACGAGGGAAACTGCGATACGACAGCCGCTGACCTTTCACACCAGCTTAGAGAGGCGTAGGGTCATGCAGAGGACATGGCGGTGGAGGGAAAAGTCAATCTTATCCTTCCGTTCCACCACAGGTCTGTGTGCAGCGACAGCAAGATGAGCTACAGGGCTTTCCAAAATCCACACTTGTTTGGCTGGGAGCAAGGCATCAGGGCCGTATGTATTTCAAAGGAAATGCTGAGGAAAGCGTTTTTTGTGGCAGCAACCGTGCACTTGACAGTGTGTGTTAGCCTGCCTCCGTGTCTTTGCTCCGTCCCCACCATTACTCTGTATCCCTCAGTAACAATAACTGTCATCTTTAGGAGCCAAAGTGGCATGCAGCCAATTTGTCTCACAACGGTAGAGAACTCCACTTCGCCTCATCTTGATATGGCTCTCGAGTGTACGTACCATTTTTTTATCATTATCTCCACACATTAGGAATGCCTCCAGCTCTGCTAAGCAGTGTAGGGCCGTGAGGTTAAAAGGCAGGAGGCACCGAAATGAGAGGGAGAGCTCTCGGACTGCTGTCAATTGAGCCTGTGCCTCCATAATGGGGATAACCTGGCACCGAACCAACCACTAATGCCCCTTAAATGTCAGAGACTGCAGCAGAAAGGAAGGGAGGCATCAAACATGAGAGCACATTCATATTTCAGTACAGCAGATGCTATAATGCGCGGACGCCTCACACTGAGTGCACACAAGGACACCATGAGAGGGAAAAAGACAAGGCAGGCACACATGAAAGAGGGGAAATTAAAAAAGGGACTTTTCAGCAGTGATGGAAGCAGCCCCATCTGATGGTTGTCTCTATTGGACAAAGTTGAGAGTGGATCTGTCTCACTCACACTCCCTCTGTACGTAGACGAAAATCTATCTGGCGGGGGTTGGGGGGGACGGGGTTGAGTCTGGTGTTGGGGGTGGGGTTGGATTGCTGGAGAGAGTGATCTTTTTTTCCAGCGGGGTGAAAGGCGGACGGTCATGTGTGCAGAGCTCATGACAAAAGGCCCTTTTATGTGCAGCGTATGCAGATAGAGGAGGCTCCTTTGTGCACAGATGGAGATCCCATGCCTGGGTCTGCCTGCGGCGGAGAGGAAAGGGAGGGAGGAGAGTAGAGAAGAGTGTTGGTGAAGGGGAAGGGAGGAGTGTATCTGGCACTGAGTGCCATCACTGTGTCTGGTGGGGGGAGGGGGAGCACGGAAAAGGAGAACCAAGCCGTCCTGGTCTTGCCAGGTTCATATATTAGAGGAGGGGCCACAAGGCTCGCTAAGAGGATATTAAAACTGGTAACCCCATAGTGGGATCACCGAAACAGCAGCATCTACTGTCCAACAAGTGGACCAGGGGCAGATGTGTTTTACAAATAATATGTAGTGTTTGTTATAACCGGCTTTGGAAAGCACATATACAGTGCCAGAGATGTTATACAATGACAGGAAATCATGTCAAACTTATCTGAACTAAGGATTATTGGGTTAGAGAAGCTTAACCTACTTTTTAATGCCAGCTATCACATGCTTCCAACAGGTTAAACAAACATTTTGTAACAGGAACTGTGCCGGACCAGGTAAAAAGGTGAAAACAGGACATCCAATGCCAAGTTCAGGGTCAAATGTATTCCTGCATAGATAACTCTATCTGCTATTATCTTTGTGCTGGTGCTTTGACCCTTGTGGAGTCCCTGGTATGCCTGTAATCAATCCATCTCCGGATGAGATTGTTAGCCAACTGTTTAAAGTGTCTCTTCTATCCTCATGCCACCTTTCCCCCCCGAGAGTCGAGGTGACTCCCACTGACATCCCGTCTGCTGAGAAGACGTCACATCCTATAATTGGCCTCCTCCCACTGACCAGGGCATCTTGACAGTACTACAGCCAGACAGATTCTTATCCTGGCAGAGCACCAGTCATAGTCATTTTGACAGACGATGGACCCAACACTCAAATGGGTGCAAGTTTCATCACAATACAATTTCATATCGATTTATCAAAGTCTGCTGGGAAACAATTCTGAATCAGGGGCATGCGATTGAGACACATTGATCACATGCACATTACCACAATTAGTTATATTTATACCAAATCACAATAAGCAACTCAAATATTATTTGACAACTCTATTACTGGTCACTTCCAGGCATTTAAATGTAAAACAATCTGTTTTTTTATAAAAAAACAATAACAATAGACCTGTTGTTATTGCCACATTTGTAATTTGTAGTTTATCAGGCAATTTACAGAGCCAATAAGCAAGAGCTAGAACGAGGGTCAATGCTGTGTTACTTTTTTTATATGAAGGTTAAACTGTTTTATTACGATAAATAAAAAAACAAGTGACTTACATATTAGGCATCTCCTCCTTTCCCTTCCTCTTCTCCTTGCACCAGTCCATCATCCCTGCATACAATTCAGACAATTAGAATATGATGAAACTACATTTTGAAGGTTTTAATTTCAGGCATTGAGTATCACAAATCATGAATTCTTCTTCATCAGTCTCCATGTTAAAATGTCACAATAGTGTCATTTAAAAGAGATGGTGCTAATTGTAATTATACAATAAGCTACCAACATGTGTTAGCCCTCTAGCTAACACTAAGTCAAGTTGCTAGTGGTGAATTTATTATCCCTATTATTGACAAGTTTTCAAAAACAAAGAGAAACAATAATCGTCTGGTTATAACATCATTGCCAGTCTATTTAAACGTAATATCTACATTACACTACCTGTTATCAAATCAGTCATGCTAATGTCAAAGGTTTGCTAATAATTTATAGCTTTGAAAATTAACGTTATTCCATCATAGCGCATCACGTTATTTGCACAGTAGCCTATTGTGTTTCAAAACCAAAATAAGTCTTCGCTGTAGTCTAAAACCGGGGGCAGCCACTCCCAATAAAGTAACCAACACAGGCTAACTGTATGCTAACGTAACCTGAGAGCCAAGGTCATGTTAAAAGTTGTGTTTGGTGAATTAACATCAAATATGTACGTGAACAAACACAAATTATTGATGGCAGTGGAAAATGGACTTACTTTCAACAGGTGGTCAGAGAGTTTCCAAAGGAATCCGTGCAATGTGTTTTTGCCTGTTAGGTATGCAAATATGCATTAATGCTAACCTGTTAGCCATAGCCACCACATGTTAGCGATACACAGCACATTAGCTAGTTTCTCATTACTCATGTGTTTTTGCCCCCTGGTGGTCAACATCATTTAATGCAGCCTTGCAAGCCTTTTAAATACTGCTAAAAAAGTGGTATCTATCTAGCCATGATAGTTACATTTTTAAAAAGCAAGTTATGCTCTTGATGAAGTTCCCATAGTTTGCAGGTGTAAGTTAATAAAAATGATCTCTCTAAATGTACAGTTTCATGTATGTTCATGAATATGTTTTATGTAAAACATATTCTGTTTTGTGGATGTTTCAGCTTAAAGTGGACCTATCATGCAAAATGCACTTTTGTACGTCTTTTACACATGAATATGTGTCCCCGGTGTGTCAGGGAACTCACCAAGTGTCAGAAAACACAACCCTCTCTCTTTTCCTCCATACCCAAATCTCTAAAAACAGGGCTGCAACGGATCTGATACAGACTGATACAGATTTGAAAATTATCTGACATCAGGAACGAGGAACTCCGCCTATATGGGCAACTCTCCACCAATCAGGAGGAGACAGCCACGGCCATTGCCGTTCGAAAGCGCTGGAGACGTTGTAGTACATATGCCAGGCCTGTAGGTGGCGCTGTAGTCTGCCACAAAAGCAGCGCAGAAGACTTCTCAGATTCAGCCCTTGCAAAAACAGGGCTAAAAAAGAGCAAATAGAGCGAAATGAGGCATGGCTAAAATGCATGATCTGTTTGGTATTTTGAAAAAAAGACTTTGCAGACATGTTTTATATTAGGTATGGCCCTACAATATATTATTAAAATATAGCATGATAGGTCCACTTTAAAGGTGGGGTACGTAAGTTTGAGAAACCGGCTCGAGATACACTTTTTGTTATATTCCATGGAATGCTCTTAACATCCCGATAGCAATGAATATCAAGTGTTTTGACAAAAAATCCATTCAAAAAATGTCATCTGTGGAAGCCGTAATACTGTAAAAAGCACGACCAATCATTTTAGCCGGGCTGGCTAAAATAACTGGATGGCCTACCTGCCAG